CTGAAAACTAAAAAAAGACAAGATCTAGAAAAAAGGATTCTCCTTTTTTGACTCCTTATGCATATATTCATACAAAAAACTATTGAGTACATCAGAGTGCAGGCATGATGTTAATGCAGGGTTAGAGGATGCATTCTGCTTTCATGGAGCTTACAGTCTAGTGGAAAGGCCAGAAACTAACAAGCAATAGCCAGGTTATGAAAGAAAGATATTTTATGTATCCACTCAATATATACCGACTATCTGCGCTCTATGGTAGAGAGCAAAAAATTGGAGAACAAAGCAGTGAAGGTACTTAATGAGAATAGGACAGTGTGGAATGGGGGAGGTGAAGAGAAGAGGATAGAGAAAGATAGCAAGAGAACAATAGAGAGGCAGGACGTTATTGAGAAACAGATATGACTTATTAACTGTTGATGATGACATGTATAGTATTCTCAACTGGATTGGTCTGAGAAGTATTTCATGATGTGCAAAGCCTTTTTACAAGCAAAATGAGAAATAGTGATTGACTGTTTTAAAAAATAATTAGAATAATAATAATAATGATTGGGGAAAACATAGAAAAGATATTGAATGTTGAAGCGGGGAGATTAATGTCTCTGTATTGACTGACATGCATGGCATTCCCTTTTGAGAAAGCAATGTAATACACTGTAAAGTTATATGTAATCCAATGTAATATAAAGAAGATTATGATGATAATTTAAAAAAAGAAAAAAACACTAAGAAAGAAAAAAAAAGAAACTAACAAGCAATTTTAGTGTAGTTTTAACTGGTATGGAAGAAGAAGGGGGTCCTGGTTTAACATGGAAAAGATATCTAAGTAGGTTTTGGGAGATCAGGAAAGTGTTTTAAGAAGAAATGATATCTAAGCTCTTAGTAGGATCTAGTAGTAAGAAACTCTTTTCTATTTGGTTATCTGCCCTTTTAGATTTATTGTAGAAATACGTTCACTTTCACATTTGGGAGAATAGTAATACAGATCTTAAAATTGGAGGTTACGATAAGTGAAGTATATTCTTTTCATTATACAATCAAAGTGCAGTCATTGAAATAAACTTTGAAAAAGTTTAACCTGAATTTTCATTTCTGAAATGTTTTTCTCTCCTCCAGTTGGTTGAGGATTTTCTAGGACCACTTTGCAGAAAGAGTAATTTTTCAAATGTGCCTAGGGACATGATTTCAACTAAGGAAATAGATGTGGAAATTTCCTTAAGTATATGTATTTTGAGAAATGGTTTTCCTATGGAGGATAGTTGTGGAGTGGAGGGTGGGATTTGGCCAATTTTGCAACTATTTCATCAAATTCTAATGTGGACAAAAATATAAACTGAATCTGAAAGTCAGTTTAATGTTAGTGAGCTCCCTAGTCTCTGCCTTGATACTTTATTGGAAAAAATTATTTATTGCTTGTCTTCTAATTCTAAAGTTGGTATTGATTTGATATTGGTCTGAAAATGGGTTATTTTGCTTATTTAACAAGGAAAAAAATTTTGCACAAAAATACTTTTGTGATTGTATTTCCATAGTATTTTTCCTTTAGGAATTTTGACTTTAAATAATAAAGTCTTTACTAAACTTTTGATGTCTGCAAAAAATATGAATCCTAGATTTATTTTTACTATTATAGTAGTGTATAGAACATTTGTAAGACTGCCTACTATATACCGAGTACTTTGCTAAACCTATTAAGTACATTATTTCATTCAATCCTTATACCTCATATTAAAATAGGTACTAGTAGTATCCCTGCTTACATAAAGAAGCTGGAGGCATAGAGTAGGTCATTTTCCTAAGGTAATACAGCCAGTAAGTAACAACTGAATTTTTTCATCAGAGTTTTTTTTTTTTTAGAATTATTTTATTTAACTCTATTTATTTATTTATTTTGACTTGCCTGAGAGGGACAGAGCAAGAGACAGAAAGAAAGTGAGAATGCAAGCCACCAGGTCTGGGACTCAAACCATGGTCAGCCATGTGATGGACTCCAGCTTCTTTAACCACCACGTCACCTACTAACCCCTCATCAGAATTTTTTAACCTTGGTACTCTTTTACATTTTGAATGTCTAGCAAAATGCCTGGTCTATACCTCCTAGGTCCCAGTAATAGCTGCTACCTACCTCCCATCCCTACTTCTTTGTGAGTATGAAAAATATTTTCAGATAGAGCCAAATGTCCCCTAGGAGCCCAAATCACCCTTAATTGAGAAACACTAGTTTTTAATCAGTATCTAACTATAGATTAGCCTCTTAGTGTCTATCAGCTACACTTTTCTGCCTTTTTCTAAGACTTTTTAACAATGTATTTACTTCTTAGGAGTCCAGAAATAATTTTTCAGAAACACATATCCCAACTAAAAAGTTTTAAATATAAGTACCTTAGTTATTCAGGTCTACTTTAATGTATTTTCAATTATTTACACTGATAATAGTCCCTTTATATGCTGCCTTATTCCTGGAGATGAACAGATAATACAATAAGGAGTAAAATTCACGAAGTAGTATAAATAGATGGTTTGTTTTGTTTTGTTTTTAATTTGCCAGAGGGTGCATGTGCTTGCTGGAGAGAGAGGGAGAAGGAGAGAGAAAGCACCAGCACTCCCTCTCCCCTCATAGACAATGGTCATGCAGTAATCCCTTCTCCATCTCTCCTTCCTTTCTGGATTTTGGGTATGCATGCACATGTACCTGACATGGTTTTCAAGCTACAGGGGCAGGTCTTGAACTGTGCAGTCAGCCATGTGGAATCCAGCTGCCTTAACACCATGCCACCAGCTGGCCCTAGATAGAGCATTTTTTACACAGTGTTTTCTCTGTGCTTACCTAGAAATTTAGGCTTAGGACAGGTAGAAAAGTGAAATTTTTACCTCACATCTAGATTCCCTAGCAGATACCCTCTCTTTCTTAATGGTATATTCTCCTTTTAGGAAATTTTACAATCTCTTCATCTTCCTATCTGTCCTACCTCAAAATTACTGTATTCTTTACTCATTCAGGTTGCCTTCTGAATGGGGGTCTTTGTGGGAGTCAGGGGGAACAGTCCAGACTTGAACAGGTGTAAGATCTAACTAAATAGACTGCAGGAAGTTCCAGGAAAGCAGATAATCTGTTGTGTGATTAAACGGCCTCACTCTCCCAGTCATTGAGGGTTGATTAATATACTGTAATTGCTTTTAGAGGAAAATGGTTGGTGCTTGGTGCTGCAGGCCTTTGACCAACTGAGTCCAACAGGGATTTAAAAATGATAAGCACATAGCCAAACATTCTTGTAAAGGCAAAAGGTATTTCACACAGCTAGTTGTTCAGCAGTCCTAGGTGACAGCAATAAAAAGTACAATTTCTCCCTTACCTTTGGTTTTGCTTTCTGTAGTTTCAGTCATCTGCAGTTGACCACAGTCCCAAAATAGTTGAATACTGTACAGTATAAGATATTTTGAGAGAAAACGACAGAAACCACATTCACAAACTTATTATAGTGTATTGTTATAATTGTTCTGTTTTATTATTGTTGCTGGTCTCTTACTATACCTAATTTATACATTAAACTTTATTACAGGTGTGTATACATAGGAAAAAAATCATACTATGTTTAGGGATTGGTGCTATCCATGGTTTCGGGCAACAGTTGGGAGTCTTGGAACATATCCTCCATGGATGAGAAGAGACTACTACTGTTGATTTGAGTCCTAAATATGCTATTGGATAACCTCAAATCTGTTTCGCAGTACATATAGTTACTCTGATCCACTTCATTTTGGATTACTATTACTTTAAATTATTTATTTATTCATTTATTTTAATTTGACCAGAGAGGGACAGAGAGAGAGAGGGAAAGTGAGAAAGCAAGCCACCAGGTCCGGGACTCGAACCATTGTCGGCCATATGGAGTCCAGTGCTCTTAACCACCACTCCACCTACCAGCCCCACATTTTTGGATTACTATTAAATGTCTTGACGTTATACCATATATAGAGTTCATTCATCTGTTCTAGATGAACATTTACCCGTTCTAGAAGTAGAAAAAGATGAGGACATCTAAATATTATTATTAATTTTTTAAGAGAGATTTTTGAATGTGTACTCTTGCCGGAGGGACAGAGAGTCAGTCAGAAAGCAAGAAATAACCCTCCGAGAGGATGGCCTCGCTGCAATCCCTTCTCCTCCATTCTCCCCTCGGGACTTCGGAGAGAGACGCACACACGCATGCATGCACACCACGCACCCGGCATGCGTTTAAACTACTGGGTCCAGGACTTGAACTGCGGTCTACTACATGAGAGTCCAGCAATGTAACCATTTCATCATCTGCCATTCCCATGGACATCTAAATATTTGTAGGTGAATTAGCTTACCGTTTGGCCCTTTATGATTTTGATCTTAAAAGCAAATTAAAGGTCATTCTGTAAAGCAGTGATTATGTTGTTTTGTGAGATCTAGATTGGAGCTGCCACCTGGTTTCTTGAGAATATCCTATGAATTAGATTTCATTTTAAATAAGAAGTCACCTAGAAGGTGAACCTACTATTAAAGCAATTTTAGTTATAGAAGTGTATAATATCTAGGAGCAGGGACTTCAGAACTAGATTGCTTTGGTTCAGATCCTAGCCCCACTTCTTATTAGCCTGGAGTCCTCAGGCAAGTTTGATTTCTCAAAAACTTTGCAGTGTATTCATGCTGGGAAAATTCATTTTGCATGCTGTAATGGTATACAGTGATTGAATGTATTAAAAAAAATCTATTTTAAATTTGCATAACGATTGTAATCACCTCATAGAGTAGTTGTAAAGAGCAAATGTGTTAAATTATGTAAAGTGTTTAGAATAGTTCCTGGAAAAAGGTGAGCTTTTAATAATTTCATTTGCCCTTTTCCAAAGAATCTTTTCTAATTCCATCTTGCCTTTTTTAAAATAATTATTTTTAAATTTAATTTTATTTATTCATTCATTTTTTTTTTTAAATATGACCACATTCATTCATTTTTTTTTTTAAATATGACCACCCACACACACACACACACACACACACACACACACACACAGAGGGGGAAAGCAAGAAAGCAAGCCACAGATCTGAGACTCAAACTGTGGTCAGCCATGTGGGAGTGTCCAGTGCCTTAACCACCATACCACCTGCTGGTTCCCTCCATCTTACATTTTTAACATAAATTTCACAGACCAGAATTGAGCATAATAAATACTGTACTCTGGGTACAGATATGTAATAAACAATAATAAACGAGTGAATAATTTTTTTCATTACAAAATTAATTCATGCTTGGATAGAAAGTCAGTAACTAAATCCCAAGAAAAACAATCAAAATGTTTATGGTGATGATTACCTATAATCCATACTCAAATTATATTCATTCTGATGTATGACCTTAAACTTTGATGTGTCTGTGTGTGTGTATAAAATTAAGTCAAAAGAGACCAGCAGTTGATGTAATGGCTATGTTGCTGGACTCCCATGTAGTTGACCATGGTTCAAGTCCCAGACCTGGTGGCTTAAACTCCTGCTGGATACATGTGCACGTGTGCCCAAGATCCCAAGAGGAGAATGAAGGAGAAGGGATTGCAGCATGGCCATCCCCCTAGGGAGTGATTTCTCACTTTCTGTCTCTGTCTTTCTGGTGAGCGCATGCACCCTATAGCAAAAACTCCACAAAAAAAAAAATTAAATGGTAATGATATGAGACTTTTTCACCTAGTTTTATTCCCACTTAACTGTGTAATGAATATTTTCATTTCATTAGATATTATACCACATAATTCTGATAGCTGCAAAGTATTCCATTATATGAATATACCAGAAACATGATTATTTAACCAAAAAGATTGTATGAGTTTTATGTTCTCAGGAGTGGTAGTGCTAACTGAACTAGTCTTGTAAAATGTTGGCCAGCACAACATAATCCCTGTGTAGATGTATCCCCAGTGTTGTACATGGGAAATATTTGTTTAATCCTTTGCGGATTCCTGAAATTACAGCATTCTTTTGGCTATAGTTTCTTGTAATTGACACAGTGGTTAATCTCCTCCTCTCAGGTTGCAGCAGTGTTTACAATCCCTTTTTTTTTAAATTAAAGAATTTATACCAATCTTTATCTGACAGTTTTTTGTCATGTTTCTTAAACTGGTTTTATGAGGTGCTTACCTGCCTTTAGCAGTCAAAGAACTTATATTTAACACCTGTGATTGTGATTTACTAAAAAAATACCAGTGTCAGTACTCCAAGATGTTGATTTAATTGGTTTGTGGTGGAGGTCAGGTGTGAGTAGTTTATGTTTTGTTTTTAAGATTCCCAAGTAGGGACCAGCAGTTAGCATAATGGTTATGTCGTTGGACTCCCATGTAGTCGACTGTGGTTTGTGTCCCAGACCCGGTGGCTTAAACTCACACCAGGCGCGTGTGCGTGCGTGCCCAAGATCCCAAGAGGAGAATGGAGGAGAAGGGATTGCGGTGTGGCCATCCCCCCTGGGGGGTGATTTCTCGCGTTCTGTCTCGCTGTCTCTCTCTGTCTTTCTGGCAAGCACATGTGTCCTATAGCAAAACCTCTCCAAAAAAATAATAAATAATTATTCAGGAAAATATTATCTACTATTTTCATTTAACCTGAAGGTCATTATTTTTACTTTTGTTTTCATATATCTCTTGCTATTCACAATTTTGCTATCCAAACTTTTGAAACCAAATAGATAGATGCAGTCTTTATCTTGACTCTTGCTAAGGTGTAAGCGTTGTGTTCATAATATTTAGTCATAAGTGTACACAGGTATGCTTAAAAACTTAATAGAACACTCTGTGGAAGATTCTCTGAGATATTCTAGCACAAAAATGAGAATCATCAGTCTGTTGTTCTTGGGATTTTTCTTGATTATAGCACATGCTCTGCAGTTCTCTGCCAGTAACCGTACAAATGAAACTGGGTTAGGAGGAAGGTGCTGACCTAATAGTGGGAAGAACACTAGATTGAAAGTTTAGAGTGCTTTAAGTGTAGTTGAGATTTTTGTATCTTAGTAAATAACTAATGTGATCTTCTTGAAGAATAGATATTAGGTCTTCCTTTTGGCTGTAAGAGTCATCTTTCTTTGAATGAATCTTACCTGTAAATTACCTTATTCACATGGTGTCCTCATGATATCATGATGTTTCTAACTAAATGATGTAGCTCTTTTTGTGACAAGGTTTTTTAAGAATTATTTTATTTAACCTTATTTATTTTATATGCTTTAATTTGACTAGAGAGAGAGATAGAGTAAGAGAGAGAGAGAGAGAAAAAGAGAGAAAGTAAGAATGCAAAACAACAGGTCTGGGACTCGAACTGCGGTTGGCTATGTGGGAGTCTATCACCCTCAACCACCACACCACCTGCTGGCCCCCCCTGTGGCAAATTCTTTAATGAAAATATTTTCTTTCAGTCTGGCCGGGACCTTCAACAGTACCAGAGTCAGGCTAAGCAGCTCTTCCGCAAGTTGAATGAACAGTCTCCTACCAGGTGTACCTTGGAAGCAGGAGCCATGACATTTCAGTGAGTATAGTTCTGATTTCCTTATGACCCTTTAAGTGTAAAATATAGTAATGTAACATCTGATAAGAATGATAACAGTTTTTTAAAGTAAAGATCACTTGATTGATTGATAACTTTAACAATATAGGCTTGGGGCCAGCAGATGGCCCCAGCATAATGGCTACTTTACTGTACACCCACATGGCTGACCCCAGTTCAAGTCCCAGGCCCAGTGGTTTGAAACTCAAATCAGGCACCTATGAGTGGATGCCCAAGGTCCTGGAAGGAGAATAGAGGAGAAGGGACTGTGGTGTGGCCATTCTCCAGGGGGTGATTTCTCACTTTTCCTCTCACTGTCTTTCTCTGTCTTTCCCTCACTCTCTCTGGTGAGCACACATGTTCTAAGGCAAAAAGCTCTAAAACATATATGTGTGTGTGTGTGTGTGTGTTGTGTGTGTATAGTCTCAGGCCAGTCCTATAGCACAGTGCTTAAGCACCACAGAGAAAGCTGGATTCCACGTAACTGACAAGGTCAAGTCCCAACATTGCATTGTCAACTTGAAAAATAAGTCGAATGTGTGTGTGCATGCATCCAGGGTCTGGATGGGATGAAGAATTGGAGGAAAGGGAATGTGGCATGAGCAAGCTTTGTTGGAGTGTTCCCTTTCCTTCTCACGAGTGTGCACACATACTTTGGCATAAAATACACACACACACACACACACACACACACACAAGCGCGCATACACACACACAGTCTCTTCATGTCTTCATGGAACCAACTTCTATGGCTCTGATTCCACAAAACTAAAATCCTGGTTTGTTTTTTTAGCATGCTATAACTTAACCTGTTAATCTATGTCTAAAGAATGCTATACCCATCGTACAATAGTAAATAACTTCTTGCTTTAGAGATTACTTGGGAGACATACACATGTTAGTTAGTACTCTTGTTTAAACATTTACTAACAAAGTAACTTTGAGCAATTCATATAACTTCTCCAAACCTCAGTTTCCTCTATAAAATATGGAAAACAATCATAAGAATTTTGAGAAGGTATTGAGGGAATTCATGTACATTATTTAGCATTTTGCCTAACACATAGAGATTAATCAATATTAGTTATTCAGAAAAAAAGAAAATTATAAAAATTTAAGAGTACTTCTATCAGTGGTTATAGGTAATCCATACAACTGAGACAGGGATCAAAGGAACGTTATTGGATTTTAGATTATCTACAAATAATAGGTATTAAATGTTTAGTACATGCCAAGTTTGAAGCTGATAAAACAGGGAGAATTAAAAAGGAAAGCAGAGTACAAGAAGTTCAGAAGCAATTTAAAAAGGATTAGCTAAATAATCTATGTTATTTTAGGGACTCTAGTAGTAAGATAATTTAAGACAAGGGAGAACCCTGCTGTGTTTAAAAACAAACAAAAAAAACATAGATACACCAAAATAAAAAACTTTGGCTTATTGGTTAAGAAAATTGTGTGTGGGGGGGTGACATGGTGGTTAGGGGTGCTGGGTTCCCACCTGGCTGACCATAGTTTGAGTCCCAGACCTGGCGACCTGCATTCTCACTTTCCCCCTCTCTCTCGCTCTCTCTGTCCCTTTCTGGTCAAATCAATCCATAAATAAAGTTAAATAAAATAATTCTTTTTTTGTGTTTTAAGGAATTGTTTATTTATTTTTATTTATTCATTATTTTTTAATTTGACTAGAGAGAGAGAGACAGAGAGAAGTAAAGTCAAGTCACCAGTTCCAGGACTCAAACTGTGGTTGGCCATATGGAAGTGTCCAGTGCCTTTACCACCATGCTACCTAAAATTGGCCCCTAAAATTATTTTTTAAAAAAGAAAAAATTGTGGATGTTACTTTTTACAGAGTAGTAATTTGCATAATATCTAAAATATTTTCTATAAATCTAATTTTCAACACCAAAAACCAGCCACTTAATTATGCAATATCTTTATCTCTGTCATATGTTAGGAAACAAAAGACATAGAAAAGTTATCATGAAATTGAAAAGAGATTTCCTTCTGCTTGATTCCTCTCTTGGGGAAGAGGTTTTTGCAATAGGACGCATGTGCTTGCCAGAATGACAGAGAGAGACAAAGAGACAGAAAACAAGAAATCACCCTCCAGGGAGGATGGCCACGCTGCAATCCCTTCTCTTTCATTCTCCTCTCGGAATCTTGGGCATGTACCCACATGCACCCGGCGTGAGTTTAAGCCACTGGGTCCTGGACTTGAACTGCAGTCGACTACATGGGAGTCCAGCGACATAGCCATTATGCCAACTGCTTGTCCCCCTGACCGGTTCCTTTAAGAAGAACTTTATAATCTCATGGCATCCTTTATTTCTGTCTAAGAGCTATTAAAGGTTTGTTGAACCTTGTAGCAAGTCCTGCCTTCCAGGTCCATATCTTTTAGTGAAGCTTATTCTCTTACTAGCAGAGAGAGACACATACTCAGACAAGTACACAATAATACCTTAGGGCAAGAAGTACTATAATCAGATATAAATGAAATCCTTTCAGATCAGAGAGAAGGAAGAAATAATATAATAATTTTAAATATGTCTCACTACTCTTTTTGGAATATATCTCTAACATTGGGGAAATATTTGCTTTCTAATTCCAAGGATCAGTGATTTGAAATTGACTTTTTGATTTAACCGACCTTAAAGGGCTTCTGCTAGCTAAAAGTTTCTGTGATACTAAGATTCTTTACTTTGCAAACCATGTTGTCTTTTCTTTTTTGTTTTTCCAGCTACATTATTGAACAAGGAGTGTGTTATTTAGTTTTGTGTGAAGCTGCCTTCCCTAAGAAGCTGGCTTTTGCCTATCTGGAAGATTTGCACTCAGAATTTGATGAACAGCATGGGAAGAAGGTGCCCACTGTGTCTAGACCTTATTCCTTTATTGAATTTGGTAAGTTTTTTGCCCCTACTTTTCTATTGAGGGAGTAAACAGAATGGGGAAGATGTTTCTTATGTTGGTATAATATTGATACATTTTTTTCTGATGCTTAGAAGTTTTGGCTTTTGTTTTCTCTTCCATGCCACCTCTTTTTGTCTGTTCAAGTGAACAAGGCTTCCCTCTGAAAAGTAATTTTCTCAGGCTTTTGAGCTTTTATCCATAGAACTTGCTACACTTTGCCCTTTTTCATTATTTAATTCCTTAGGATGATATATGACAGGAATTGTGCCCAGAGGTCTACTTGATTGGCGTATGATAGATTAATTCTTTTCCTTTAACCCATAAACACACACTCATAGTGAGGTTCATTTTATGGAGATCAGAATTTGGAAACTAGTTTTGCTATAAGGCACGTGTACTCACCGGAGAGACAGAGAAACAGAAAGTGAGAAATCACCCCCTCAAGGAAGATGGCCACACCACAGTCCCCTCTCTTCCAGGCTCCTCTCAAGATTTTTGGGCTCACACGCAAATGTGCCCAGCATGTTTCAAGCCACCAGGTCCGGTAGTCAAACTGTAGTCAGCTACATGGAAGTCCAGTGCCTTAACCACTGTGCCACCTGCTGGCCTTAAGAGTCTCTTAAAAAATAAATAAATAAATAAAAAACTGGAAAATATATGGTATTGATGGTATGGGAAATAATATTTACTGTATCTACTATATTCAGAAGTAATAACCGTGGGTATCTTTATTATATAAGAATTTCAACCTTCCTCTTGGCCGGAACCGCCATCTTCCAGTAATTAACCAAAATGACGAACACAAAGGGAAGGAGGAGAGGCACCCGATATATGTTCTCTAGGCCTGTTCCTTTGGCGACATATATGCGAATCTACAAGAAAGGTGATATTGTAGACATTAAGGGAATGGGTACTGTTCAAAAAGGAATGCCTCACAAATGTTACCATGGCAAAACTGGAAGAGTCTACAATGTTACCCAGCATGCTGTTGGCATTGTTGTGAACAAACAAGTTAAGGGCAAGATTCTTGCCAAGAGAATCAATGTGCGTATTGAGCATATTAAACATTCTAAGAGCAGAGATAGCTTCCTAAAATGTGTGAAGGAAAATGACCAGAAAAAGAAAGAAGCCAAAGAGAAAGGTACCTGGGTTCAACTAAAGCGCCAGCCTGCTCCACCCAGAGAAGCACACTTTGTGAGAACCAATGGAAAGGAGCCTGAGCTACTGGAACCTATTCCCTATGAATTCATGGCATGATGGGTGTTAAAAATAAACTAATCTGTGGTCTATAAAAAAAAAAAAAAGAATTTCAAAAAGTCTTAATCACTAGGCTGGCAGATGGCTTAGTGATTAAGGCAGGTGAATCTCTCATGACTGACCATGCAGTTTGAGTCCAGGACCCCACAGCTTGAAAAACACACCGGTTATGTGTGTGTGTGTGTCCAAAAATCTCAAAAGGAGGAAAAAAGGGAGAAGAAATTGCAGTGTGACCATGCCCCACTAGGGGTGCTTTCCCACTTTCTCTCTCTCACTCTTCCTCTCTCTCCCTAGTCTCTGGCAAATGCATGGGTCCTCTGCAAATTCAAAAAAAAATAAAAGAAAAAGAGAGACTTATCACCAGTCAGGCCTAGGAATGTATCCGATGGCATTAGATCAAAGGGAATGTCTGAGTACATGGAGTGACAACAAGTACGAACAGGCTACATTGCTAGAATTTTTAGTTAAGTTTTACTGTCTCAGATTTCTGAGGTTTATCACCTTTGCTAAATAAAGTTCATCATCTTTTTAGGAATAGAGAAAATTTGATAAATACTGATGTTTTATAACTACCAACTCTATAGCTGCTAATTATATACTGTCCATTTTTTAAATTTTATTTTTAAAGAAGTATTTTACTTAACTTTTTAATTTTTACTTATTTATTTTAATTTGACCAGAGAGGGACAGAGAGTCGGGGGCGGGGGATGAGAAAGCAAGCCACCAGGTTTGAAACTTGAACCTTGGTCAGCCATGTGGGAGTCTAGTGCCCTTAATCACCACGCCACCTGCCAACCCCTCTAATTTTATTTTTATAGACATTAGCATTTCTGTAAACCCAGAAAAAGCTAAGATATATCAGGGTCACATAAGAAATTGATGGTATATTCACAAGTCAAAGGGATACTATACAAAGATAAAAATGGGCTGTAGGAGAAACCTAAGGACAGTAACCTGGGACCAGTAACAGAGGTTGTAACTGTCACTAAGCCTGAAGGTGCGAAGGGAGGACATTTTCTAGAACTGGGGAAAATGTTTATAGAGAGGACCAACTTGAGAGAAGCAGTGACCTGCGGTGGAGAATGGTGCCAGCCCATAGGGACTTACTTCTCAAGAAGGAGCCAGGGGAAGAGATACTCTGACATCACTGGCTGCTCTCCTTCTTTCCTACTGTTATTCTTTCCTACTGTTCCTTCATTTTGTCTGAAGCTAACTGCAAGCCAGAGAGCAAGGAGCCCACTGATGTCCTCTATACAGGTCAGCTTTCTAAGGCAGAAAGCCAGGTACAGAGGCTGTCTAAAGAGGCAGATGAAAGGTATCTAGTCATTCTTTCAGTTTTAAGAAATACAAACCTGGACCAGGAGGTGGCGTGAAGGTTAAGGCAGCTGGGTCCCACAGAGTCAACTGGAGGGTTTGAGTCCCTGGCTTAGTGGCTTGAAAAACAAGTCAGGTGTCTGTGAGCCTGCATTCTTAAAATCCTGAGAGGAGAATGGAGTAGAAGGGATTGGAATGTGGCCATGCCCTTAGCGGGTAATGTCTCATTTTTCCCTGTCTGTCTCTCTCTGGTGAGTACATGCACTCTATAGCAAAAACAAAACAAAGAAACAAACCTAAAAAAGAAAAAGAAATGTAGACACAAGCTAAAAGATGGATGAGACTACAATTATATATTAGTATTTTGGGAAACTGCCACATGGTTACTTTACCTGTTGAAGAGCAAGGCGAAATTGGGAATGTATGTTAAAGAAAATATTTTAATGCAATGTTTCTCAGCTTTTCAGAGACCATGAACTGTTTTGCCATGTTAGGCTGTAATGCTGCTATAGTGTTGCCAGCATCCTTTTAGCAAAAGTATAAGGTCTTATTCCATTACCGTGTTGCTAAACAGAAAGTCCTTAGACTGGGTAGTTTATAAAGAACAGAGGTTTACCTGGCTCATGAGTCTGGTGGCTGGAAAGTCTAATAGCCTGGGACTGGCATCTTGCTGGCCTCTGATGCATCACAGCATGGCAGCAAAAAAGTCAGTAGATGCATGCAGAGAGAGAGACCTGCAGACTTTTTATTGTATAGCAACCCTCTCTGACAGAAACTCCTTCCACCAAGAGTAGGAACTTACTCCATCTCACAAGTTAGCATTAATCCCTTCATGAAGGCAGTGCCTCTGTAATTCAAGTAACACCCAGTAAGCCTCATCTCTTAAGGTCTTACTACCTTGCAGTTCCATTATATCTGGAAGCAGTTCTTAGCACGTGAATCTTAGGAGGACAAACCATCATCCAGACCACAACTTGTAGAGTTAGGTAATGAAACTTTGAACGTCTTCAGAATATATCTTAAAATTTTTACTTTCTAGAAAAACTTAACTGTAGTGGGTTCTAATTTCACTAAAGATTCTGATGGAAACATACTTAGAAATTAAAGGTGTCATTGGGACCAGTGGGAGATATGGTGCTTAAGGCATTGAACTCCCAAATGGCCAACCATGGTCTGAGTCTCAAACCTGGTGGCTTGCTTTCATCACTTTATCTTCATTCCCTTCAAATATCCCATGAGTACATGTGCTCTATAGCAAATTAAAAATAATAATAAAGTTAAATAAATCTTTAAAAAAAGGTGTCCCAAGGACATTATCCTGAATAGTCATCTAATATTTTCTCTTCATTTTATAAATGAAGAAATCAAAGCCCAGATTTTGATGCTTACCCAAGAGCTTAGTTAACCATAGATTAACTGAGACAGTGGCAGATAAAGAATAAACTTAGAACTCTCTAATTTCCTACTTGAGTCCTTTGACTATGGACATGAAGGAAGTTATTAATGGTCACTTTTGTTCCTCATTCTAGATACCTTCATTCAGAAAACCAAGAAGCTCTACATTGACAGTCGTGCTCGGAGAAACCTAGGTTCCATCAACACTGAATTGCAAGATGTGCAGAGGATCATGGTGGCCAATATTGAAGAAGTGTTACAACGGGGAGAGGCACTCTCAGGTAACTGAAAGCAGTTGAGAGTCTTATGAAGAAGTAGTTTTTATTCATAGGCGATGATAGCTTATTTGCATTACTTAATATGTTGCCAGTCTACCTAAGACTTAAGAATTCATCTCTCAGAAATATGTTACAAAACTTCCAATATGATAAGGTTTTTTCCTAGCATTATTAGTTTTTGTTGAGTTGGAACAGTATAAAAAGACTCATCCATGTGAGAAGCAATTACTGTTTCCCAGATGTTTACAAAATTAAGTATATTATCTATAAAAAACACATAGGTTAAGGGAAATGAAAAGGAGGAGAGGAAATTGTCAGAGGTTTATTGCAGTGGTTTCTTGAGTAGTCTCTTTGGGAGATTTTATTACTGCCAGATAAATCTTTTTTTTTTTTTTTTTTTTTTTAAGAATTACTTGAGGCTGCTGCCTGCTAGCCTAAAAATTAAACTTTATTTATTTATTCATTTATTTTAATTTGACCAGAGAGAGACACACAGAGAGAGAGAGGGAGAGAGAGAAAATGAGAAAGCAAGTCATCAAGTTTAGGACTTGAACCATGGTCAGCCATGTAGGAGTATCTAGTGCCTTAACCACCATGCCACGTGCTGGTCCCCACTCCCAGATAAATCTTTTTTTTTTTTTAAGAATTATTTTATTTAACTTTATTTATTTATTTTTAAAAAATTGACCAGAGAGGGACAGAGAGCGAGTGAGAAAGTTAAAAGGCAAGCCAAGGTACCAGGTCTGTGGGAGTGTGGCGCCCTTAGCCACCACACCACCTGTCGGCCCAAATCTTTAAAAAGTGCCATTTTTGTTTGTTAATTTTTATTTTTTTAATTTTTTGAGAGGTTTTCGCTATAGGGCGCGTGTGCTCGCCAGACAGACAGAGAGAGACATAGAGACAGAAAGGGAGAGAAATCTCCCCTTAGGGGGGATGGTCACGCTGCAATCCCTTCTCCTCCATTCTCCTCTCGGGATCTTGGGCACTCACGCACATGCCTCCAGCGTGAGTTTTAAGCCACCCGGGTCCAGGACGTGAACCACGGTCGAACTACGTGGGAGTCCAGCGACATAGCCATTACGCTAACTGCTGGTTCCCAAAAAGTGCCATTTTTATCAACTTTTAAATCTGAGAAACTTTTCAATTTGAGACTGCATGATTCAGTCTGTTCCTTAATTTATTTAAATTTGTTCCGTCATTAATTGAGTGCTTGTGTGTAAAGCATTGTGCTCTGTATATGGAAAATAAGAGATTGTGAACATCTGTCATTCTCCTTAGTTCACCAGTTTCTACCTCAGCCAGGTCAGCTTCCTCACCATCCTTCATGGTCCATGTCACCTCATGCTGCACCTCTTTAAGGCCTGGACAAGAATTGCCTCTTTGAAGAGGCCTTCCCTGATCCTCATAATACACACCACATTAGTTTTTTCTGTACTGTAAACCTTTTATTTAAAGTTGGATTTATCTGTTTCTTGAGGGAGAGAAAGACCGGCATCCCCAGCAGGATCTTCATTTTGTGATCCACTCTCAATTTCAGTCAGTTCTAGATCATGGGTACATGTGTGCCAGGTGTGTTCAGGGAAGTCTCTCGATGCAAATCCAGAACCTTTTCATGTGGATCAGCTTAGCAGAGCACTGTGTTACTGCTGTGTCACTGTCTAGCTCCTCTATACTTTAAACTCTTGAAGCACTTAGCTAACATGTTCTTTAGTACAAAATTCCTGTATTTATCTAATTTACCTTAACATACTTATGAAATACATATTTATTTACTATGTATGAATATATTTAACATATGTTAAATATGTTTACAGATAATATAAATGTATATTAAATATATAAATTATATTTTAATTTAAATATATTTAAGGTAGACTAGATAAATAATGTGAAAAATTATGTATTTGCTCTTGCTTTATAATAGAATTTTCAGTTATAGGTGAATAAGTTTAAATGATGTTTAAATGTTGTCTAAGTGTTTAATGTGGGCCTGTAAGATCTTTAAAGGTAATATTTTGGGGGCCAGCAGGTGGCATGGTGGTTAAGGGTGCTGGACCTACCACATGACTGACCGTGGTTCAAGTCTTGGACCTGGTGACTTGCTTTCTCACTTCCTCACTTTCTCTCTCTCTTTCTCTCATTCTGACCCTCTCTGGTCAAATGAAAATAAATAAATAAAGTTAAATAAAATTATTTTTTAAAAAAGATAATTATTTATGTGTGTTGTATCTGTTCATGTACTTCTTATATGTCCTTCATAGTAATGGTCAAAATAGATTCTCAATATTTCTTGAATTCAAGCTAGTAAGTGTATTTTTTAAATAATGAACTGTAAACTTTAATTTTTAGGCTAGCAGGCAGCAGTTTTCCCAGCATATAGCTTCACATTCTTAAAACATTAAATTCTGGATGAGTGTGCTTATATACATTTTCATCACAATAGACTTATAGTTCCTACTGGGAATAAAGTAGACCTGCACAGAAATATTTCTTAAATCCAAAATTTGGGTGTTTTTCACTTAATCAACAGTGTAAAGGATTCTCTTCTTGTGCTTTTTTGTTTGTTGCAAAACTGTTAATGCTGACTGAAAAAGAAGTATCTTTCACCTCATAAGTATGACTTTGGTTGGAAAGATAAACATTCTCAGGAAGTAATTAATAGGCAGTGTAATGGAACAAATATCTATTGAGCACTTTGTTCTAGGGAATGTGCTAGGAGGGTTTTACATGTATCTTATTCAGTCTTTGTATAATCCCAGATAAAGCGGTGGTATCACATCAGTTTTACAGATAATGAAGCAGAGACTTGGAAGAGTCAAATAGCTTACACACTGCTGGCACCTGGCAGAATCCACTGGCCTCCAATGTCCTTATCCATATTCATTATATAATAATTGTAAAAGGATATATAAAGAAGAGTTGTGTCAGTACAGAAGGGATAAATGTGAAATGGACAGGAAAGATGTCCTGAACTTAGATAGATCAAGGAGTGAAGAGTAGTTTTTTTTTTTTTTTTTTTCTTTTAGATTTTTTGCCATGGAGTACTGGTGCTCCCCAGAGAGACAGAGAAAGTGAAAAATCTCCCCCTAGGTGGATGGCCACACTGCAATCCCTTCTCTTCCATTCTCCTCTCAGGTTTTTAGACACACATTCACTGTCCTGGCATCGTTTTTCAAGCCACGAGGTCTAGGACTCAGACCTTGGAGTTGGCTATGTGGGATCCAGGACCTTCACCACCCCACCTACTGGCCTGTAATGTAGTAGTTTAAGTGGGAGGAAACAATATCGCAACAGAGCATATTTGAAAGGCAGTGAAGAGATTAGCTTACTTGAATATTTCCTTCCTTAGCCTACCTGAATATGAAATTTCCTTCCTCTTGAAACGTATTGATAAGAGTCCATCTTTTATGCCTTCTTCTGATTTATAGTTTTAGAGCTGGTCTACTTTAAGACTGGAAAGTAGTTTCTGTGGATTCCTTCAGCCATATTAAACTGTGCCCTTATTTATTGCCTGTATATATGAGAGAACTTTCAAAAAGTTCATGGAAAATATGTGTTTTGAAAAAAATTTCATGTATTTCAAAATTTTTTTGTACCAAAATAAACTTATAGTTAATACCATTTTTGCACAGAAGTCCTTTTTTGATTATACCTGGGTTCTTTTAAGCCATGGTATGTTTTTTCATTCAGAAATGTCACCTTTGCATGACTAAATTCCACAAAGGCAGGAATAATGTATATTTTTATCATCATTGTATCCTCTAGCACATCATGTGGTGCTTAAAACATAAATATTTGCTAACTGACTTCTCCAAGCAGTAGCTTTATCTTTATAATAACATGTGTTTCAAAGTGTTCCTATATAGAGGAATTCTCTTAACTATTATTTCATATGGCCTACTAATTGTTTCTCTGCTCAGTTATTCTCAGGAGATTTAGATGTATTCAGGAAATGTATCAAGCACTGATTATATGCCAGACCCTATTCTAGTCACTTGGGATATAACAGTAAACACAATAGTTCAAAAATTCCTCTCCAGTGGAGGAATTCTAGTCAGCTGGCTAGAATGCTTGACTATTGTCATGGTTATTTCTCATAGCCTAAATGTTTTGTTTCTTGACTTGGATGTTTTTCCTACTCAGACAACCAGTTGCTAATTTAGATTTGGCAGTCCTGCCTGTATTATTATGTAATGCGATATTACTCAATCAGAGCCAGTCTTTATTAAGCAACTCCTTTCTTTTGAAACTTTCTGTAAGGAAGAATAAATTGATATTGCAAAATATCAATTAAAAAAATTTAAAGAAGTGAAAGGTTTCACCAGAATTTATTTATATTAAACTGAGAGCTCATTTTTATTAGAATATGACCTGTATTTTAAACTCATCTAACTTGTATATATCTGGCTATTTCTGTAAATGCTTAGTTAACAATGTAAGAAGAAAATAATATTACAAATGTTCTTGGGAGGAAAAGTGAACTTTGTAGAAAATGCAAAATTTATTTGAAAAGCTTAATTTATTAGATGGTGGTGGAGGTTTTAGCACTTGGTACTGTATAGCTTTTATATGTCTGTTGAAATATAATTTCTGGTAGTTTTAATTTCATAATAACTGCTATGTGGAAAATCTTAGAAAATTTAGCAGTCACCACTGAAGAAGCTTAATCTCAGTGTCTGATTATTTTGAATTTTCAGGTTAGCTAAATTTTCTGGTTATCTGAGTCTTATGTGGATTAACATTTTTAAAACATGAGAGAATGATTGTGACTCAGACCATTAAGATCTTGTATTAGGTTGTTGGGAAAGTCATCCTATGCAAAAATGCATCTTGACTTTCCCAGCGACCCAATAGCTGTGGCCGGCAGGTGGCATGGAGTTTAAGGTGCTGAATGCCACATGGCAACTATATAATGCAAGTCCTAGACCTGGTGGCTTGAAAATGCGGCCATCCCCTTGAAGTGTGATTTCTCACCTCTCTCTCTCTCTCTGTCTCTCTCTCTCTCTCTCCAGCAAGTACATGAGCCCCATAGCAAACTAGAAAAAAGAAAAAGATCAAGTAGAATGATAATCATTGTTAGAAAAATATCAATATTTATCAGGTCTTTACCATATGCAGGCATTGTGCTCACTTTGCAGGCAATCTCATGTCCTTTTAACCTTATGATGTAGTTTCTATTGTTATTTCCATTTTATAGATGAAGAAAGTTGGTCTTAGAGAGGTTAATTGACTTGACCAATATCACATGGCTGGTGTAGCTGATATCTTAACCACATCGGAGGCCAAAGCCTGTGCTTCCAGCCTACTACACTGTATACCCTCCAGAATGTGAACATAATGTGGTCTGATAATTTTTAAAAATGTATTGTTAAATGTATCTTTAAATCTATATTATAGAGCCAGCAGGTGTGGTGGTTAAGGTGCTGGGTCCCACATGGCTGACTCCACTGTTTGAGTCCTGCACACAGAAACTTGAAAAACACAATGAGTGGATGCATACATGTGCAGAATCCCAAGAGGAGATTAGAGGAGAAGGGATTGCAGCATGGCTATCCCCTTGGGGGTAGGGAGGGTGATTTCTCACTTTCCCTCTCTTTCCAACAAGTGCACATACCCTGTGGCAAAAGTCTAAAACAATAATAATAATGAGTTTCAGACTCATAAGTTAATCAGTATATACAGCCATACCCTTAAAATAATTTAAGCTTTATGGTGGTTTGTTGTGGTACCATCACTCATTTTTGGTTATTTTTAAGCCATTGTTCTTTTGCTAAAATACTTCCAGGGACTAATTAATGTTTTTCTTTTTTCTCTTTGGCAGCATTGGATTCAAAGGCTAACAATTTGTCCAGTCTGTCCAAGAAATACCGTCAGGATGCGAAGTACTTAAACATGCGTTCCACTTACGCCAAACTTGCAGCAGTAGCTGTATTTTTCATCATGTTAATAGTGTATGTGCGATTCTGGTGGCTGTGAAGTAGTGGATTCAAGCAGTAGCTGTATTTTTCATCATGTTAATAGTGTATGTGCGATTCTGGTGGCTGTGAAGTAGTGGATTCAGTCACTGGTAAGGGAGAACCTAGAACCCAGCAGGTGTGTGTTTTCAGGAAGCTGAGCTCACAGGGATGTGTATTAGAATCCAGGTGGTACTTCTGCCTCTAAAGACCTTACAAGAAAAGATATGTCCTGAAAATGAAAGATTACACCTCATTTAATGCAGCTTAACCCTGGGTAGGAAGTCTCTTTTGGTGTCAGAGACTTTCTCTGGGTGCTAAGCCATATATGTTAGGGAACAGTAGATTGTTTCATTCTGTTTTTTGTTTGTTTTTTTTTCCTCTCAGTACATTTTAAAAACAGCACTGACAGGGGCATTCTCATTCTTTCATGGAGTCGTTAGTGAGACTTAGCTTAGCCAACCTGTGCTAGCAACATCCTGAAGTTCCTTCAAAGATGGCAGCCCTTTGGGAAGTTTTTTGACTCTAATCAACATTCCTTTTGTTGGTGACACTTGTGATTTTCAGTAACCTGAGTTTTTGATGGTCTTTCAAACAAGACTCCAGTATGTGAAGGTTAATTGCTATGCTGCACAGACCTTGTCTTTGGCCCCTGTAGGAAGTTAATCTTCGTTGTTTTTCTTTTATGGTATTTTGCTTATTGCACAATTGCTTTAGGATTAAATGAATTATATTAAAATACCTTGAAATTATATTATAGCACTCCTTGATTAAGAACTAAAATGTTTTTTTTTTCTCATTTATTCCTTAAGACTTAAATTAGTTTGAGACACTATTAATTTTATTTTACAGTGTCTAGGTTATATGAACATAAGAGCCGAGTATAGCATATGGGTGGTCAGAGGCCTCTGGTTGATGAGAAGAAAGGCCCAGCTCACACTAAAGCTTTATGCCACCCCTCCTCACTTTCCGCACTATGGTTTCCCTCACTCTGTTTCCTTTTGCCACAGTTTGCTAAAAGTTCACAATTTTCCCTGTGCCCAGTAGTGTCATGGCCTGTAAGCATCCTCAAGATATTCTTAAACTTTGAAGTAGAAAATGTAGCTAACTCAATTGAAGGTTTTTACAAATCAGCTACTCCAACTACTGAATACGTTTATCTGAGAAAGTCTCTGAGAGAAACTCATTCCTGTTTCGTTTATATAAATTCTCTGAGAGTATTCTGAAGATAGATAACTCATTTACAGAGATTTCTATTAACAAATAAAAACACCCATGATTTTTTGCTCAGGGATGATGAGGATTTCCTATTACCTTCTAAGATGTAATTTTTTTTTTTTTAATGGGAAGAATAGGCCTTTAAATATTGTGAGGGTCTACAGTCCTGTTAATTCTTGCACATAGTACAACTGTTTCTTAAATTGTACAGGAAAGTAAGCCAACTTCTTATTTCTTAACACCTTTGAAAAAACTTTAACCAGTAAGCAATTTTATAACCCTAAGGGGTCCTCAAAGCTACTGTCCTGATTCTTGGTAGAGGGAAAAAAAAAAACCACAACTATTTCCTTATAACATGACAAGGAGAAATGCATATTTTATTTCTGGTAACATACAGAACTAAAATACTTTTCTTTCTTTTCTATTATGAACCTCAATCTGCCAATTGGAGTTTTGGGCATGAAATACAAAGTTACTTTTTATAGAGAATAAGTGCTTTTATGTCCCTAAAGGCTCATCTCTAAGTAATGATGTTGGTAATAAAAGCTTTTAAAAGACTGAAAACGTAACTAGTGGTACCATAACATTGGGTGCTTACATAGGAGTGAAGAGTGGCAGCTCATTGTTGAGAGTTGCATGCTGCTACCTGATAGTCAGCAATGAAATAAATATTTCTAGAATGTTTCCTTCAGTGTGAAGTTTTGTTTTCTGTTTTATATACATATGTATTTTCAAGGTACATTTCTACCTAATCTCATTGGGCCAATTAATAAAGAAGGGATGGGGTAAATGATGAATAAGAGAACAAAAATGTGCTTTAAGATCAGGGAAGTAGAAATAGGAAAGAATAAGACTGTCATAATGTGGCTCCAGCTGCTTTGTAAGAGGTCGGGAAAGAGCTAACTCCATGAAATGTATCAGCAACCAAACAGGCATCTAAAGAAAAATATGATAAATACCACATGGGGCTATTAGAGGCACATTAAGAAGGACACCTACTTTATTTGAGGGAGTGTGGAACAAAACTTTCTAGAGAAAGAGAGTGGAACATTCTAAGCAGAGTCGTTGGCATGTGCAAAATGCACGAGTAAAGAGCATGGAGCACACTTTGAGAATGTGACAGCTTGGTTTAGCCCAACTAGAGGCATCCGCAACTGAGGAGGCGTGAGGAAGGGGAACGAAACTGCTCACTGTTGTAAAGTGACCTGTCTACATGCCAAGACTATTCAGGGGGTCTTCAAAAAGTTCATAGAAAATGCACATTATGAAAAAATGCGTAGATTTCAAAAAACTTTTGTGCCAAAAAACTTGTGCTTTGATTCCATTTTCTACTTTTGAAGTCTTTGCGTTAATGAGTATGGCAAAGGCAGACATTAGATTTATAGTTTCAAACAAGCATTACACTATGGCTAACATAGTGTAAAGGATATATTAGAGAAGGATAAGCCTTACTTGGAAGATGAAACTAAGCAGCCATTAAAGTCAGTAAATCAGACAGGCTTCAAATGATTTTCAAGAAAGGAGGAATTGAGGTACCAGATTGCTATCACATAGCTGTTGGGAGCTTATTTCTTCTATTAACCAAACCTTTTGAAGTAAGTACTGTTCACACTACTATATGAATAAAGAAACTTTACAAAAGATACTTCTCTGAAGCACAGAAGAGTTAAGTAATTTGTCCAAAGTCAGCTTTCATCCTGTTGAAGTTCTGCTTATCTTTCAAGGAATCATCTCGGATATCTCCTATGTGAAGCCTTCCTAACATTCTCATATCTTTCTTCCCACAGACCTGGGAGAAGTTATGGTTCCAACCTCCCTAACATTTGAACCAAGGCAGTTGGGATCCAGAGTTTGTGCTTTTAAGTATATCATATCACCAAGAGGTCAAGTAAAATAAGTAACAAAAAATGTGTTTCAAATTTAATGACCAGAAACTTAATTATACAGGCAGAAATAATTCCAAAGAATGGGGATAAAAGCTAAATTATAATGGATTGAGTAGTGTGTGAACCCAGGACTGAAGACAGAACTGCTCTCAAAAGTAGCTTTTCAGGGTATTATGACACTAAAGATTCATGGCCTGTTTTAATTAAGGCATTTTTTTTAAAGATTTATTTATAATTGTTAATATTATTTTTCACATGAGTTTTGCCAGAGAAAGACAGAGAGGGAGAGTGAGAAAGCAAGCTCCCAGGTCTGGGACTCAAACCATGGCCGGCCATGTGAGAATTCCAGCCCCTTAACCACCATGCCACCTGCTGGCCCAGTTAAGGCATCTTCAAACATCGAAATTTACAAAAATGTGTGTGCTTGTGCACCACGTATTGTATAATATTTCAGCCTATGCAAGAAGTACAAAGCCAATTCATGACCTAGTCGTCTGTGATCTCTCAGTTAAAAACTCCAGATAAATAGCTTATGGAACTCAAAGGTAAGTGCCCAGAAACCTGGACCACTATCCAGCTCTGATGATTGGAAGCATGCTATAGTGTGAACTAAATGTGGATGAGATATATTCTTGAAAAATCATATGTACAACAAAAATGTATATCAAATATTTTTCTGCAGTGCATTCAGGAGTTTGGTTCTATAGAACATTTAAAATTGGGGGATGGAGGAGAGTCTGGTTATTTAAAATGATAGTTAATGGGGAACCAGCAGTTAGCATAATGGCTATGTCGCTGGGCTCCCACGTAGTCGACCGCAGTTCGCGTCCCGGACCCGGTGGCTTAAAACTCATGCCGGGCGCGTGTGTGTGCGTGCCCAAGATCCTGAGAGGAGAATGGAGGAGAAGGGATTGTGGCGTGACCATCCCCCCCTGGGGGGTGATTTCTCGCTTTCTGTCTCTATGTCTCTCTCTGTCTGTCTGGCGAGCGCACATGCCCTATAGCAAAAACCTCTCCAAAAAAAAAAAAAATAGTTAAGGAGCTCGAAATCAGTATTTCCTACTTTTTTCAGTAAAATGTCTTACAAAAGCAAGTTAAGAAGGCAAACTGATAAAATCATTTTGCACACAATTTAATAAAACATATTTGAGGGGACTTCAAAAGGTTCATGGAAAGTGGAATTAAAGTAGGAGTTTATTTTGTTACCAAAATGTTTAGAAACCCATGCATAGTTTCTTCATAGTAAACAATTTCCAGGGAGCTTTTGAAGACATACACATATAAAATTGAGACCAAGTAGGGCTTCAACTCTTACCTATATACCATTCTGTCTTCAAATTTGAATTCTAGCCCTAATTTTTTTTGCAGTTTCTTGGATTCTGTTTTTATATACTTCATAAATACCTCCATGGATCTAAAGTATCTTATTACCTCCATACTGTTGATCTCAATGGTAAAACCTGACCTGTGCTTCCCACTATTTTTCCAGTTTTTAGATGTCACCTGCCACCCCTTTACCTGAGCAACAAGTCAGTGAATTGTATTTAATTCCTTTGTTCTTTTCTTCCACCTCCAACTCATCTGTTAACTGAAATATGTTTTTCATAGCCTTCAAAATACTTATCCATCACTTTCTGTCCTTTTCACCTTGGATTCAAGCACTCATTGACTTTATTAACATGGACTCGGAGTAGCCTCCTCACTGTTTTTCTTATACATCCCTCTTTAATCCCAGTACTACTATAATGCCAGAAATTTTCTTTCTATTTTCAATTTCCAGAGGGCACATGTGCTTATCAGAATGAGAGAGGGAAAAAGCACCCCCAGTGGGGCGTGGTCATGCTGCAATCCCTTCTCCGCTTTGTCATCTTGTCAGAATTTGGGGCACTCAGCGCATTTATGTGCACATGCACCTGGTGTGTTCTTCAAGTCCATGGGACCAGCATTTGAACTGTGGCCAGCCCTGTGGGAGCCAGGCTCCCTTAACTAATAGGCGGTGGGGCAGCCCTCCAGAAATTTTTAAAAGAGTTAATCCTACTGTTGCCTATAGAGTAAAAGATCACATACAGTCTGCCACCCACATTTCAACCCACTGTCTATTTCTGACTCTCCTGATACTCTCCTACAAATAATCCAGGCTTCTTAAACCAATCAAGCACTGTGCCTTTGTGCTTTGGCTCATCCTGTGTCCTCCAGAATATCTTTATGTACCTCACTCCCTTTCATCCCGCTAAAGTTCTGCTCACCTCTCAAAAGTCTTGTTTGTAAAGCCTTCCTAACATTCTCATATCCTCCTTCCCACAGACCTGGGAGACATTAAAGTGCCAATCTCTCACAACAATTTATTATTTTTTTTAAAGAATTACTTTACTTTATTATTTTTCAGTTTGATCAGAGAGAGAGGGAAAATGAGAAAACAAGCGACCAGGTCAAGGACTTGAACTGCACTCAGCCATGTGGGAGTCCAACACCTTTAAGCACTACACTACCTGCAAGCCCCAACTTACTGATATTTCTATTATAGAATCTAACAATTTAAAATTGTTTGTACTTAGCTGTCTCCTTGACTACCTGCCGTGTGAGGTCCCTGAAGTAGGGACCAGTTATTCCCGTCTTTGAATCCTTGCACTCAGTATAGTGGCTGACATGTAGATTTTTAGGAAATTTATAGGACTGGTATGTTGAATTAAATGCACACTTTTTTTGGGAAATGAGCTGTTCTGTAAGTTATGGATACAGACATAATATGAATGAAAGGAGCAAACAAAGGGTAAAGTAGTGTAAGCCTACTAAAGAAACAGGAAAAGAGAGGCACATTACCAACAACAAACAAGAGGACCAATAAGATTATATCACAATATAATGAAAGCATTGCAGAAGAGGACGAAAACAGAACAGATGAAATTATTCTTTGGGGCAGAAGCAATCAAAATACAAGAAGACAAAGGAGAGGGAATTAAGGCATGAAGCCCAATTAGACTTGGGGAGAAAGCACAAAAATTAGACCAGCAGATCTTGCTCTGGAAATGTTTCAGTTAACAAACAATGGTTGCTTTTATGTTGTGTAGATAATACTCTGTTTAATGAGCTCTTCCCATCAGTTAACTACTTCACAGTAGATTGACCAACTGACTGTAGTTTGCAGGTGCCTAACTTCTCCCCTTTATTCCCATGCAAGTTAAAGTAGGCAGTGGGCTTTGTAAGACCTAAATGGACTGAAGATCCCACTTAAATGTATGCTTTTGGTTTAGCCATTTGGATTATATGCAGAGAGTGTTTATTTGCACACTTAGAATTTCAGAATAAAAGTACTTTGGCGTGTTCAAATTGGTATTTCTTGACATTTTTTTTTCATCTCTATGCTCTTTTTTTTCTTTATTCAAAAATTTTTATACATTCAATCACATTATTTAGCTTACAAAGTGAACATTTCAATATGTGAACATATCTCCCCAGTCCAGTTGATCAAAATATCTTCAACCCTTAACACCACACCTCCCCATCCCGTCAATGCTCTGCCTCTGTATCCCTCCTCCAAATGTACTTCTTTAGGCCCCACTCCTCCACACACACATCTGGCATTCACACCCATCTCTTGTGTTTATACAACCGTTAGTCAATCAGTTTCAGTCATAGAATGCAGACACTCAGTGTATATTAAGAGGGAGCATATAATGTCTCTCCTTCATAGCCTGGCTTGCTTCACTCAGCAGTAAATCTTCCATATTCTTCCACTTTCTGTCAAAAGCCAGGGTTTTGTTGCTGGTGTGTGTGTGTGTGTGTGTGTGTGTGTGTGTG